TTATGATTGAAAAGTTAGTATTGGTTTAAATGATCATATGCAGGCAAAAATATGGGGCTAAAAGTCGGTTTAAGAAGCCTACTGTGTAAAGAAATTGAGCTATGTTAAGTACGAAAAGATTTTGATGTCCATCGGCGATGGGCCTCTTCGCGTACGATAGTTGTGACAATAGTTCCAGCAAAATCCATGTTGAAAGTTTTGTAAAATTTGTGAGGTATAAGTGAAACGCCTAAAGAACATTGAATTGAAAGTGCGGAATAATTCAAGGAAGCTGCACTTCCAGGTGAAGTATCCAGGAGAAAAACTGCTTCAGGAAGGCGTATGGAGGAGCAGGGTAGGTTCATCTTGAAGACAGGGCACAACTATAAAGGCAGAGGGGGGGTGAGGACAAAGCGCCATTATAGTGCGCACGGAGATGTGAGAATTTGGTTGACCTAGATTGGGCCAGTCTACGGGGTGCGGATACGACATCTCAGTGGCCAGAATGGGATCCTGATAAGGATTGGTGGTAAGTAAAATGGAGAGGATTTAGGACGTGAGTATCGATAAGACCCTGCTTTTTTATCGGAAGATAGAATAAGAGGGAAAGTCGTTGTTCGGAAAGGTCCGTGAAAAAATCGAAATTTTTGAGGGAAGATCGGGAAGTTTGGAACCACACGCCAAGAGGAGATGGGGGCGGACGGGTCAATTCGGAGATGGTCTCCAAATGTTAAGTGGTTCATCCCCAAAGTCGAATGGAAAGCTGCTCGGGAAGGATGAGGAAAGTAAAAGGCAAATTAGGTCATTGTCAAGATAAAGACCCAGTCTCCTCATAAAAATGGACTAGCTGTATACTGAATTGATACCTGTTCGCAGGTTATTTTAGAGGAAGATCCTCTTGAATGCAAAGCGGAGAGAGCTATTAGAATTGGGGGAGGCGGGAGGAATATCCGAAAAATTATAAAAAATTTGCGGACGACTAACAGGGGGCAAGGGCGAAATCCGAGGAGATTTGGACAACCAATAATGCGGAGGCGAGGACAGAAGCCCACCCTTACTCTCCAAACCCAGGGAAACTTCAATTTATTTAACTGGTATCTATTTCACAAGGAAGTATTAGGGTGTATTGAATGGAAAGACTTTCTTATTAAATATTCTTGAGCATTTTCAATCAAAGAATGTCTAGGCTCGTTCATTAAATCAAAGGACTGACAGCAATATTTAAGAATGGGAAGGGCAATAATATGAAAAGTTCTCAATTTAATTTCAGAAAAATAAAAAAATGTAAGTAAAGCAACCAATCTGGGCAGCTTTAGTTATAATTCTGTCAACGTGACGTGAGATATCTGGATTATTAGTGCGACTCATACCTAAGTCTCTGATGGCGGAGCATTCATTAACAGAAATGCCTTGAAAGTCAGTGGCTGGGGTAAACTTTTAGGTCTAACGTACGCGTAGTTGTCCTCAGAAGAAGGGAACTCCATTGCCCATGTGGAGTTCCGCGCGAACAGAGCAAGCAAAACAAAGTGGATTTGTCTCAAGCAATGGTGGGTGGCAGATATGGAGAAAACATATACGCATCTAAGACCGTCGGCATATAGGAAGGTCTGGACATGCCTAACTGTCAATGACATTTTATGAAAAGCAAAAGCAAAGGCGGGCCTAACACTGTGCATTTGAGGACATCGCTTATGATAGGCCTCTCATTCGGTAAAGACATTCTGGAAAGGGTATGGTTTGACTCCGGTTAGGCCTAGTATTGCACAAGACTGGCTACTGCATTTATTTAAATAGGCTCTGTTCGATTACGTTTTCTGCCGCGTACCAACTATGCTTGGCCTGCGTGTTTCACCGGCCTGTCCTGTTGACCTTGCAGAAAACCGCCTCGAGAACCAGGCGCTGCCGAAATGTCGATATTGACTCCTTATCGTGTTCCTCAGCCCGAACGTGTTAGATGTCGTGTGAAAGTTTTGTCCGCGATATACGAGATTCCAACGCTTGAGCATTTTGAGATTGCTTTATGCACATGAAAATTCTTAAATGTTAGATGCCAAGCGAAGGTTTAGTCTGCAAGCAACGACATACCAAAGACCGACTTTCTTGAGATAACGTCACACATAAAAAATACTTACAGCCACGAGAATTGACTGTTGTGTTCCAGTTCCAAAGGATTATCAATTGTTCAACTGCTTCATGGGGTACACCTCCGCCATGTTGGACAGGAAGGTTTCACATGCTTGTTTTAGGCCAACAGCGTTAAGTTCGTTATGAGAAAATTATACATAAAAATCGAAAGGCAGGCAAATACACATAAAGTAATATATTAAGAAGCAAACTGCAAATAGAGAGACGATTGTTTGATTTTACTAGACTGACTTTCCAGCGGAAAAGGCAAAATAAGAGGGGGATGTCGCTGCAGCTGGATTAAGTGAGCTTTGGCGGTTTGCCGAGGCTACTCTTGCATATCTTAAACGATAGCAAAACCTACACAACCCTGTGTGAATAACTGTACTGCAAACTATCACTTCAACATAGAGCATACGAAAGAACGAACAGTCGCTGGTGACTGCAGTCACCAGCGACTGCCAAAACATTAGGCAGTATAAAACCTGCATATCCATCCCGAATAACTATAGTTTAGTGGCCATAACAACAAACTAGCTTCATTTGTTACCAGGATGTCGACTTTGTGCTGCTGTTTTGTGGAGGGCAGTGTTCAAGCGGTAGTCTATGACGGCAATCATATAACAAGTAGCGGAAGCAGTGACAACGCACAAAAATTAGTGCGAGAATGAAGTGCGTGCAAGCTTGACAGTGCGACTTTGCAGCCGACACCTAAAGCCGTGCCTGGCCAATGGCAGCCGCCCTAGTGCCGCAACCGAGTCGTCGGCCACCTTGAGGGCAGTTAGCACTATTTTCAGGAAGACTGCTTTTGTGTGCTTTGTTTACCGTCAAATTTTGGTACACATTTTTAAACAGCCGAACATAGGGATGAGTGCTCGGCTTGATTATCTCCAACAGCCTTGTTGGAATTCGGCGCAAACCAGCGTTTCCTGTAATCTCAACGTTCGGACTTGCGCGTTAGGTACTCTGCCATAATGACTTAAACCCCTCCTCTCACAAGCTTTCCGGCAGTTTCACCGCCAGTAACTTTGAGGTTAAACACCAAACAATTTCATACAGTAAAAATGGACATACTCGCCCTCTATTGACGAACCTGGTCTGCATGGGAGTCTATCAACTCACTGAACGGTGCCGCTGTTTCCATTGGCGCAGACAGATGCGGCGTCATGGCGCTTGCACCAGAGCAAGAAATGGGAATGCATGTTTTTTTCATGGCTGTTACGTGTGAACCAATGCCCAGAAGGATTTCTCCTAAGGTTAGACGTCAAAAGCAAACACTGCGTGTATAGTAATCCCGGTCATGTCCACGTGCGCGGCCTTCGCTGTCAGCCTTTTGTTGCCCGGAGTTCTCCAGCGATGGTGACGGTCTGTTTAAACAGGATTCGATCGACCCTTAACTCTCCCTTAGAGATGCGAGTGTGAAGTGGTCAACAGGGACTCACTGCTACTTCGGTCACCAGACTGCAGTCAGTTGGTCCTTTGAAGTTAACTCACATGGGAACCATTCGTTGCTTGCGAACTTTCAACTGGGGACAGTCTAGTCATACGGTTAACGGGCAACGGTTACCATGTCGTTTTAAGTAGAAGATCCTACAGGACGCGGATGCCAGGGCGTTAAAAGTATGCCTGAAAGTGATGTACGTACGAGGCTTGCATACCATGAGGGAAGACATAGGCTGATAGTTCATTCGTAACGGGTGCCGGCTAGTCGATACCTACCGTATTTTGGTGTTTATGGGACACCGTAACCTAGATACAACAGTATTTTGGTTAAGTTACAATGTATATTCTTTTTTAGTCAAAAATTTTCCAGAGACAATGGTCATCCTTTAGAAATTCAACGGACTTTTTAAAATATACCCTTGATGGAGTTTACTGAGCTTCATAGGAAGGACTGGCTTTGTAAACGTCCATTCCTGGTTATATCATTGGCCATGTGAAAACGCCCCTGACATAAGCGGTCAAGGCATTATGTATTGTCAACACAAACCGCAAGATTTGAGCCCGCGGACCAAAAGGAAGTATCTGGAAGGAATTTTTTCTTTCAGTTTCTAGGAGGATTCACTTTTAAGGCCAATTTTCTGTACAGACAGATCCTCTACGTTGTCGCTTCAGAAACACACCGAATAGGATGCATCTTTGAAATGAAAGGACTGAAACCGCTAATGGTAGACATTGAGGGTAGTTAGTCACGCATATATCGGTTAGAAGCCCTTTTCAATTGCGAAATAGACGGCTTAGGGTGGGCATCGATAAAGATAAGTTAGATACCGTAGTAATAAATATGTCTTCTTAAGTCAACTTATCGGTCATGGAAAGGTCGGTCTAAGGCGTCTGTTTTTGATAGTAAGTTACACGTTATTATGAATTTTCTAGGCTGCTGCGAAGGCGCTTCCGGTCTTCCATAAGACCGCGCCTCCGACTAATTTTCCTATACACCCTGTATGTGTCTCCAGGACTGTGCCATTACAATCATTGGGCAATGCTGCTAGCTGACTTCTGGATCCCCATTCATACGTCTAATTCACGTCTTCGGTTACCCCAACCCTGCCGGTCTGCAATGTAACAGTTACCGACGATCATGCATTAGCGTGTGTTGTGGACTTCATCCAAGGAATTAGTAGAGCTGGTTAAATTTAGTAATCTTCTATAATGCACTTTATTTTGTTCTCGAAAGCTCGGCACACTTACTTGAGATCGGTTGCCTTATGCTGCATTACAAATTTTTGACAAGGCCATGCACTACTGTCTCCTGGATGTTTACTTTACTAGCCGAGTTTTTGGGTTGGACACGGGAGTAAGGGTCCCCTCACCCAGCTCTACAGGCGGCCTCGCGCTAAATTCCAGGGGCTCCTATTCCTATGTACTATAACGCTTGCAGGCCTTGACATATTTACATGCTCCTTGTCACTATCGTGTCCTCCTCCCTTCCATTCAGGCCCCGAAAGAGTGTCCTTATACTTGTTCAGCCCTACCGCGCCATGCTCTCGGGCCTTCCATCCTTTCTTCTCAGACCCTCGCTGCATTTATTGCCACCTGTGAGCATCCTATTCGCACACCGCTCGACCGTATCCGAATTTGTGCCCTGCTCACATGACGACTCCAAGAATTCCAGAGGGCAAGACATTCACTGGAACCGGAAGTTCAGACGGAGGCTTCAGAACATCTTGCAATCTGGCAACTGGGACGAGTCCTTCGGTCGCGTCCGCATAGTGGATGTGAGTTTTAAAGGCCAACTTTTTGTTATTCTTGTTTTTTTGATTGCTTTCGTTTGTGCCACCTTTCTTGCCAAGAAACAGCCTCTCTGCACTGTCATACTTCGTGTCTGACAGAACGCGAGTGCTCGCTTGAACGCCCCACTTGCACTTAATGCGCCTAAGATTATACGCAGTCCAGATGGTCTCCGTAATGCTGCGACAATGGGTCGAGAGAACTCCAGCCACTGTTAGATCAGGCTACTGAAGGTTTAGTAGCAAGTTTCATGGTCCTAGCCAAGTACTGCGTTTACCGCCGGCATCTCGAGGTATGCGCAGCGGCGCCCGATCAGGGGCAACACCAAACTCATGAGGCGGACGTCTAAGAACATGGACAAAACAGGACAGGGCCTTTCTTTCTGACCATGTCATTCGAGAAGAGATCGGTGCACTTCAGCCGAATGTTATTTCTCAGGCAACGGTAGTCGAGCACCTTCAGTTTTCACTCAACTTTCACCCACACAGCCCAAAATTAACAACTGGACGGAGGCTCAGTTCGCGTGCGTATTTGTGGCATTGTGTCTGCAGGCAGTTTCGGGATATTGGGAAGGTCCTGCGAGCAGCATCTTTTCGGGAGAAGATGGCAGATCTACTCTGCCCATTTGACAGAAAATTCGTTCTGAGGTACTCAGACTCTCCACGTCTTCAGGTCGACAGCGACTAACTTCGAGGGGTGCCTTCTTCTGGTCAGGAATGTTGCTCGAAAACACTTTGTTTTCCCCAGCGTTGGTAAACAAACGGACGGCTTTAACGACTTCGTTCATCCGTAAGAGTATTTTACGAAGATAATTTCAGGAAAATGTCAACAGGGCGAGTTGAGTTCAATCAGCCGACGCCCGGCGGGAAATTTGGTACTGTCCGATCCGCGTAGGTCCTTTCGTAGAATTCAGTCAAAGACTAAGCCGAACAGGATAAATGACAGAACGCTATTTCATCGGACTTGAGACTGGGAGAGGTTATTACGGTTCAGAAATCATCCAGTGATGGGACGATAGCAAGCCATGACCACAGCGATAATGTCTGTCAGCATACCGTCTGGCTCCATTATATGCCACAGAGACTCAGCGAGTGAAATCGCACGCTGCGGCGAAGTCAACAATGCCCATAATGCGCCTCAACCAGTATTTAACATAATATCCACATGGTATCTTCTTAGATGCATAGAGGAATATATGATTTTCCTTACACAGAAAGTATACACCTTGTAGACTGTAGTCGCTCAAAATTATTCGGGAATCAGAAAACCTCGCAACCTAAGTATACCCTTCCTTTCAGTGTAAAATGTGAAGACGGCGTGATTTTCTAGCAAGTGAGTAAAAGAAAGCACGTTCTTGTGCACGTTTTCTATAAAATACATTTGAATGTATAAGGTCACAGAAAGTTAATTATGAAAATTGCATACCATTTAAGCAATCATTTTTGCCGAGTGCAGTGTCTACACACTTGAATAAATTGTGTGGTACTGATAGCTTTTGTGCCAGGTTTTGAGCTAATAATGCGATTGCCTAACTATCCATTTGACTCTACTTTTGAATTTGCACAAATTTGCATTCAGCTTCGTGCGGGTAGTGATGGACGAGATATGACGGTCAGGTGGTCAATGGATGAGGAGGATTTTGCTGCAGCGGTCAATTCACCACAGTTTCATGAAATCTGCCACATCGGAGTGCTTCTAAATCGCACAGCGCCAACTATCAGGTATCTCTTCCGCTTCTGGTTAATGCAGTCATAGACAACGTCTTGCCCGAGAGAACGCCTTCAAGAAAGTTCCCTCTCTTACCTTCATTCACCACTCGCAGCCCAACGTAAGACGCTGTTGGTTTTTGTAGTGCCTAATTTCAGATTCTCGAGGGCGGTTGCGATAGCCTCAGGGATGAAGAGTGCACGTCTTCTTCCGAAACGAACTCCCTCCCTGTGACACATACAATGACCAAACCGACTGATGTTTATGGCCTGCCTTGGGACAAGTATATGGCCTGCGTCAAAAGGGAGATGAAGGGTGGCCTGGGCGTGTCTCTAGTGGAAGTGAGTTTGCGATGTCGAAACATAAGGCTTCTTGCTGTGCGCACAGATTACGAAAAGCGCACGCCATACCAAGTATTCCCATTTTCAAATAATGAACGCCAGATATTTGCACCAAACAAAGTTGTTTTTACCAAAATTGACTACTCAGCTTACCTGTTATTTAACAGCGGGACAGCTAATGCCGTTTTAGCCTACTCGCTCAGTTTGTTTTGTCGGAGTCCTGAAGTCGGGTCGCGAATGTATGGCAGTTCTTGTTGGCATGGCATAAACGACCCGCTGGCTAGCCTCTTTGGTCTCCTCCTCCTCCTCCTCCTCCTCCTCCTCCTCCTCCTCCTCCACATAGGGCTGCCATCACCAGCATTCTCGTCAGAATCCTCTTAGCCTCCCGTTCATGACGACTACCATTGTGCCTGACGCATGTATTACGTGGTTTTGTGTCGTTTGTAATAAACATGTCTCCGGTCGGTGTCGGGACTCAAGTGACTGGGTTATTTCGAAACCAACACGCCAGTCCTTTGTCCCCCCCTCCCCGAGGTACTCTCTTCTGCGACTCATGACTTCTCCTTTACGTATTTATTATTAGGCGGGTAAGGAACTCGACTTCGATGCAGGACAGGGCAGAAGTTCCCCTACGCTATCAGATCTTACATCCACCAGCACTCAAGCAGCTACCGTACTTTTCTCCTGTAGATCCAGCGTATCCTGCTATGCCTGATCACATCCCCCACTTCTGTTACTTCACTCCCGCTCGTAATGTTTTTCCCAACCGATGTCTAGCTTCTTTAAGTGTAGTCAGTGGAAACTGTGCACACTGTTAAGTGCAGGTCACCTTTGAGCCCATCCACTAAGCCCAGTAGCCTTATTCGGCAAGGAATATGGTGCTGTGCATGACGCAGTTGCGAAGGGTTAGGTTCACCAGTGCTCCCCCCTTCCCCAGCGTGCCTTCTGATGCGTGCTCCAGTTTCTCGATCTTAACTTTTCAGTCTCCTCAGAGACTACTACGCTACCTTGAAACAAATCCGTCGGCGCAGACCTTTTCATTTCACACATTCATGCTAACATTAGCTGAAATTTTGCAGAGGGATTTTTTGTCCGTTTAGTCTGCGGCATTGTAGGCAGGTTTAAGAACACCCTAGAAGTCTTGCTGCTCTCCAAACTTGAAGTTTTCCTTCTTGCCCTGGTCTGTTTTAAGGAGTCACTTAGGCCTGAGGCAAAAAGCGATCCAGATCGTACCAAGACAGCACGCTGGGCGCGCATGTGGCGAGAGCAGAATAGCGCTCGCTTTCAGGCCAGACGTGAAAGGAAGCGCTCCCATCAGATGCTCGGCCTTTGGCAACTCACCCGAGAGATGGAAGCCCTGGATGGAGACGACGACTGACAGCAAAATCTCCGCTTTTCTTTATCCTTTCAGGCTTGTACATATATTCTCAGCCTCCAATAAAATTACCGAGTAAATTACGACGGAAAGGATGGAATGTATCTGGGAAATGGTCACGGTCTGCTCACCCTTCGAACATGGATTTTTAGGGGCCCAACACTAAAAGAGGCAGTTTTCGCGGTTCATTTCCAAGTGAACTACACCCCCACTTATGCGTTGTTTTTATGCTGAATGGAGACGTCCCTAAGGCCAGCGTCGCCTGGTGTCTGGCAGTTCGACCATCTCAAACGGCGACGACTGCCGCCTGCCCCACCAAATGGGCGCAGCACTGGTGACTTGCGCGTAAACTAGTTTTATAACGATGCGGACTTGCACTGCGCCCACCTCGCACTCCTCTCATCCACCTTGTCCCGTGGACAGGACAATCCCAAGACCGCTGGAGGCGGACTCGGACGCAGTAGTTGACAAGACTGGACAGACCGTCTATGCGTACCACACGTGGTCCGATTTCCACTACGTGTGACACTACATTACTGTGGGAGACTGCCTAGCTAAGAACGTATCTGAGTGTAGTAACTTCCACCCAGTCATCAGGGCCAGTGCTAATTGGGCATGTTTGTTGTCGCTTTTTACTTTCCTCAGAAATTATCTACGAAGTTGGAGTAGATCAGTTTATTCAAGGTCTATAGGCTCAGACCGAGATTTTTATACATGAATATTTGGGCCAAAGTCCATCAGCCACAGCGGGTAACCGCGTAATAGTCATTAACTGCAGACAGGCAGCTAGTAGTATACTTTGGGGTGAGGTGTATAAAATTCTCGGTCTGAGTCTATAGTCCTTGAATAAACTGATCTACTACAACTTCGTAGATAATTTCGGAGGAAATTAGAAAGCGACAATTTCTAAATTGAAGTATATACCAGAAAACACACGGGGAATTCTGGGGGACCCACTGACGAGCCGAACCCCTCGCAGCTGCGCCATGCAGCGGCAGAACATCGGCGAAACACGCGTGTATGGGGCTTTTGGCTAGTAACTGTGCTGTTAGCATGGTATCACCTTACCCTGAGCATGTTTGTATTTAAGACAGCCCAGGATCGGCATTCCAACAGCTGCAGTTCCCGCCGTGATAGGACACCAACTCAAGACTGGCTCGGTATTCGATTTCACTACCGTAGAATCTAACACACTTATGAGGAAGAGGAGGAGGCTCCGAGGCGCCTGTCTGTAGTTTTCATTGTCTTGCATCTACCCGCGTTTGTGTCAATGCTAGGCAGTTGATTGACTCATGCTACCTGGACCTCACCCATAAGGTCTGTGAGAGAATGCCTGCATTTGATCCGGTCGCAGTTCCAGCAGCGGCGGGACTGGGCCTACCCGTTAGTCTAGCCGTGAACTTCCCGGCGCCTGCACAGCTATAGGTCAGCGAAACAGCCCTCGAAGACTTCCAGTCACGGAATTTTCAGGCCTTATAGTCTAAAGTACAGGCAGTTTCGGGCCGTGCTGGGGTGATACCTGGGGTTGACCTGCTCGGTCGGCGGACTGGTGCTTGAGAAAGGGGAACGAGAGAGTGAGAGGTTGACTCTGGGTACTCAGCCCCCACAACACACTCAGTGTATATGCCTCACTCTAGTAACCTTGACGCGTTTTTAAATTCTCACGGTTTATTAAAAGTCGTGGCTTGGAAGACTGCCAACTGAGGAGGCGAATTGGTCTTCACAGAACGCAGAGTTTGGCCGCAATGGCTCCTTGATATGACCTCTATGGCACGCTCACTGATGTGAAATACGAGCCGTCCGTGTGGGAACCTGGTACATTGTGCCGGGACGCAAGATCGGGTGTGGACGGCCTGTCTAGCTTTGTCAGTCACCTTCGGTTGTTTGACACCGTCAGTCTTGACACCGGGCTGAAGTGAGTGAGGAGGGAGAGAGTGCGGTATATGCGGCGTAAGTCGCCGTCTCCGCCCTCACCTTGTTGCGGAACACACGTCCAACATCATCGGTAACGACAATCAAACTGCCACGTCTGGGTGGTACTGGACTGGTGAGTCTGTTACTTATATAAGAATGTTAAAAGTCATGGCGGTGCTGCGATACGACGAGTGTTAATTCGTAGCCGAGTTAGGCTTCACCTGCCGCTCACTACAGTCCTGGGACCCTAAACAGGTGCAAAGTATGGGACAGTCTGCACCCGAACTCAGAGACTGGAGGTGACCCTCCGTCAATTACGCTGTCCCATGCAATCGTTATCCCACAAGCTGTTGCTTAGGCACTTTCCTGGATCACCGCAGGACCACGCTCGATGCATTCTAGTTAGATTTGGGAAGGTCACAGAGAATTCCATACCGCAACACTGGACAGAAAAAGTGGTTCAAATTCTGAGGCCTCACAGTAAGACTAATTGGCAGCTTGTGTGGACACCGTTGAGTCCGAAATCTCCCAGTTCGTCCCACCGAAAACAGCAAATGAACTCACCCATTATTCCCCAATGCCGTAGGGGTCTCCGCAGGATGAATTCACTTTTTTTAAAAGTGCGACCTCGTTAGAGCGAACAAAGTCTGATCAAAGTTGATCAGGAAATGGAAATCCAGGGGACACGATCAAGCAAAATCATCCCTAAGAATATTCCAATTGGGGTAGATATTGGGACTGGTGTCGGAGATGCCGGCGCAAACTCCTACCCACTCCAAGGTAGCGAAATAGCTTGCCATGACGACGCGAATTCAGCGCAATGCGCTTGTGGATCGCACGCCAGGAAAACGTCACGCCGTAGGGCAGTTTCGGCTGCCACTTGCGGGCAAGTCGACCGACCAGCATCAGCCAGGCTATTCTCGAACATCTGGCACCTGAAATTCGTGCCCGGTTTGTGCTAACGTTTCGGGCTGAAATCCGACCAATCAGGACGGGCCGTCTGGACGGCTCCGTTAGCGTTGAATAAGATGCTTTGGACGGAAGGTTTGGGTAACTGATGGGCGTGCAGTGATGGACGCACTGAGATTGTACTCCATCATCTCCATTCTCTTCCGTACTGCATAACAACGTAGGGGTGCTCTATTTTAGCAGGACTAAGATCCAAGAATGAATGAAACAAAAAAGGCCATGACGATCTCGGAGGTGGTAGGTTAGTAGGTACTGGCATCTGTCGTCAATTTAGCATCACGCAGTCGGTGAAAGATGGGCGCGTGATATGCTCATGTCGATAAAGTCAGGAAAGAACGGAAAACGAAGGGCCCAGGATTAGAAACGAGGAGTCAGCAGCTTCAGAGACGGCGACCTAAGAGTTACTTCGATATCAAGTAATATCGTCCAGGGGTATTTAAATGGCAGCTGTGAACGGGAACGGGAACTTACACCGCTGAGCATATCAAAGTATCCCTTACAACTTGCATGCTATTTCTGAATTTCCTATAGAGCGGCCAAGGCTATAAATGCCAAGTTATGTTGATTCCGGCGTATTCGTACGTCCTTTCTGTGCAGATTCCCATATGTATGAGGGCTACCTCTTGCAGTGCTCTGATTGGATACCACACCAGGTGAATGAAATCAAAAGTAGGAAGAGCATATGCGAATACTCTGTATTTGTAAGAAAGACCGGAGATATGAGAGGCAGTTCAGATGAGGTGATAAGGTATTAGAAGATGCAGTGTCCAACACAGGTAGTTGACTCCTGGACAATACGGGCAATGAAAACATGAGTTTTAGAAGTACGCAATGATGACAGTTGCTTAAATAGTGCTAAAAACGAGTTGTCTGTACATAGGCGGGGTTGTAAAGTTAGAAGTAGGCGGCAAATGGAATCGACAAGTTTGACTGACTACTGCAGCCAGTCATTGGATGTGATCAAACAGTGCAATGGGGATAAATTATGAAAGACTTATGAGCTGGTAGTGGTGGGGCGCGTACACTGCACCAAAGCTGTCCCCACAGGACCTTCAGTGCCTCTTTTGTCTGCGGAAGAAGTCTCGTATTCTGTCGATGCGCCTCCTTCGCGTCTGGGCCGTACTCTCGGAAGTTTCGACTCGTGCTTCTTGGCTGGCCATAGCAACTGCCTGCTTGCTCTCCTTCTGCCTGCGCATCGACTTGTAAAGCCTCCTGTCGAATTCAGAGAGATGGGCTGAGTTATTTGCTACTGCGTCTGACAGTAATCGCATGGCGTAATTGTACCAACGTCTCTCACTATCCGTGCGTTCATCCCCAGCTGCTTCTCCCTCATCCTCCTCGGGCAGGGAGTCTAGGAGCTCGGGGTGGGTCTCGAGAACTTTCTCGACCAGCCGGTTCGCATATCTTTCCCACTTGTCCTTTTCTTCACGTAGTTGCTGCATTTTGAGAGCGACATCCTTGCCTGCCTCAGCGGTCTACGGGAAATAAATAGACAGTGCCTATTTAATTTACTTCAGTAGGCATGTTTACCTTTCTAACAAATTTAAATGGGAATAGGGGACTCACCACCGGTCTGTTGTTTTCGTTTAACGTCACACCTCCGTTCGAACGCGAAGAATGAGGGCCGGGGCGGAAGACATCATCGTCTGTTCCGGAACTGGTGCCTTGATCTGAATAGATCTGCCGTTGGTTAACCTTCTTTTTTAAGAAATCACGCTCCTTTGTCAGCTGTTCAGCCAATTCTTTTGTTTCTCTAAATTTCCCTCGTAGGGCCTCGAGTTCATCACGCAGTTCAGTATACTCAGCGACGAGATTTCCCACTTCTGCCGAATTTCCCGCAGAATTGCTCGAAAGGATGAAATTTTTGAGCTATAATCGCGAAAAGACATTAAAACCAATTAACAGGTGAAGACCTGAGGTGGGAAGATTGAAGTGTTCTCTAGAATAAACGAGTAAGGAGAGGACTTGGGCCTGATGGATACACAAAATGTTATCATGAAACCAACAGTAAGGCCCCAGTCAGTCCCATATACTGTTTTCCGTCTCTTATAACCCTGCGCTGAGAACTGATACGTTTTTTGCACCCGGCGACGCTTTTATAGGAACATGAGGAGCTATCT